TGGCTTCAATCTTGGCGTCAGACACTCCGAGGTGACGAGCCAGTTTCCTCCAGTCCTTCCCCACGTTATCACAGATGATGTCAAACGCTGCCCGCAGGTCTGGGGAGGGAAAGAACACAATGACTGAGCAGAGAGTACGGGAGCTCTTTAGGAGACAGGTTACCCCACACTCCCTGATGGGCTCCTCGGTGCTGACCCAAGGGCTGGGTACCAAGAGGTCCTCCTGCAGAGGCCAATCCTGCCCCAGCTAACCACACCCTGAAACACTACCCAAGAGGCGTGGCCTGCTCTGAAGACTTAACGGTTGGGGTGTGTTGTTACGGAGATACCTACTCAGGACAGGGAGATGGAGTTGCTCCCCCATCTCACCCTACAGTGGGTTGAATGGTGGCCCCTAAAACGTATGTCCACGTCAAACCCTTGGAACCGTGAACGTTAACTTATTTGGAAAAGGGCCTTTGTAGATGAGATCCAGTTGGCGATCTTGAGACGAGGGGATCATCCTGGATTATCCAGGCGAGCCCTAAATCCACTGACAAGACCACGTGCCGCGGAGGCAGAGACTGGAGCGATGTGGGCACAAGCCAACGCCTGGAGTCCCCAGAAGCCAGAGGAGGCATGAAGGCTCCTCCCCGAGAGCTTCCAGAGGGACCACGGCCTAGTGACACCCTGACTTGACTACTGGACCGAGAACTGTAAGAGCATCAAATTCTGTTGCTTTAGGCCACCAAGATACGGTAATTTGTACGCCAGCCCTGAACACCCCGATTCTTACTCTGGAAGATGTCCTGACTGACACCAGTCCTCAGTCTCTGGCTACTATGTCCTCATCTGCTGAAAGGTCACTACTGAGATCAGCATGACAGACTACAAAAGGCTGTTTCTGGACGGGGGCAGGGGGAAGAGGAAGGACAAAATGCTTCTTGGAAGGTTCCTGCAAAGTTGCATCTTCAAATGCAAATCCCTGATATGCTGTCAGCCTGTGTGCCAACTCCTCCAGTTCTGTGAGGTCGGCACCTGCGTTACTGATCACTTGTACAGAAGAGGAAATGGAGACACGGAAGGTAAGTGTAAGTTATTTCTTGAGATCACACAGCTAGACAACGGCAGAGCCAGGACCACGCCTTGATGGCCCATTGTGCAAAAACTGTCCCTTATCAACCAACCCGTACCTGCTGTGACGCTTCTGGTGTACTTCCACTCCACCCAGGAGGTTAGCAATGTCCTTTCCTTTGAGTAATCTCTAACTCACCCGGAGGGAGGGGGGAGGTGGAGAAAATACTGAGGCTGGGGGATGGGTGTCCATGCTCTGCAACTTAGGCTGTTAACTTCTGTGCACTATGGTTCTCCCATTTGCAAAGTGGGTATATTACCCGTCTGTCTCCCAGGGCTGTTTAGAGAAAACCCACGCAAACCGAACCCGGAAAAGGTTAGGCACCCGGGAGATCGAAACTACTGCTGGTCCAGCTGACCCTGCCTCCCCCGGCGCCCCCCCCAGTCCTCAGGCCCCCGCCCCCGCCTGGCTCCTCCGGCGCGGCCCCGCCCGCCCCCCGACCTCAGACCCCCGCCCCCACCTGGCTCCTCCGGCGCGGCCCCGCCCCCACCTGGCTCCTCGGGCGCGGCCTCGCACGCCCCGCCAATCCTCAGGCCCGCGCCCCCGCCTGGCTCCTCCGGCGCGGCCCCACCTGACCCCGAGACCTCAGGCCCCCGCCCCCACCTCGCTCCTCCGGCGCGGCCCCGCCCGCCGCGCCCGCCTCGAAGTCGTCCAGGCGTCGCAGGAGGTCCTGGCGCCGCAGGGAGACGAGCAGCTTGCGGAGCAGCACGGTGTTCTCGCGGCTCATCTCGTTCTGCTCCAGCAGCACGGTGAAGAGGTCCAGGCCACTCTGCACGAGCTCCAGCTTTCTCTTGCCCACGCGGCTTTGACACAGGAACTTGAGCTCAGTCAGCTCGCTGCTCGACAGGCCGACCGACACCGAGTGCAGCAGCACCAGGAACGGGTCCATGACGGCGGGCGCGGCGGGGCCCGGCCCTCCTCTGGCTTCCCCTGGACCGGCCCGCCGCCCGCTCTCTGGCCCGCCTCCTCTAGCGCCCTGCGCCCCTCGGCCTAGCGGCGGAGGTTCCCACTTCCAGCCTCTAATGCCCCCCTCACCGGAAGTCTCCCTTGGGGCCGCTTTCTCTCGCGAGAACTCCAGGAACTCGCGCATGCTCCCCGAGTCCAACAGTAGCCATTTCCGCCCGGGGGTGGGGGCGTGGCTTGCGGCCGCCGCCGGGAGACGCACCAGACATGCTGACGGCGGTGGGACCCCGACCTCTGCGCCTGCGCCCTGACGTCCTTCTCTCTGGGTGGGGGCGTCCGGCCTTGGGTGTCCCGACGCTCCGGGCGCGGGCTGTGTTTTCTGTGGAAAGTTGCACTGCGGATGCCGATAATAAATGCATTTATTTATTAACATTTGTGAAAATGCATGTCCTTTAGTGTCCCCTGGAAATCAGTGTGCAGAAAAGACTATTCAGAGTTTTATTTAGTTTTAAAAGTTTAATAACTACTTGATTTTTTAAAGTTATCCTCATTATTTTTCTGAATGCTTATTAGCGTTTACTGACGCCTACTGTGTACCACGCAGTAGGTTCTGGTGACAAATCGGGAACAAAGTGCCGAAGGCCCGGCCTGCCGGGAGCTTACAGCATCAGGACACAAGATTACCTAACACTGATAAGAAAGTGCCGGAAAGCCAGAAGTTAATGCGAGTCGCGGCCAAGAGGATAGGGGAATGGGGAGTGTGGAGGTGGGGCGGCGCACGTTGCGAGGGCGGGGTCCCAAGGTGCAGGTGCACGTGCCGGGTGTGAGGGGCCAGGTGTGTAGGCTTGAGGGGAAGAGGGCGGAGCCACAGCAAGAGCAGAAGCAGAGGAGGGCGGAGGTTGCAGGAGCAGAGCCGGGGAGAAATGGGGTGGCCAGCGAGTGGAGGGGGTGAATTAGGAGGAGCCAGCTAAGAACGCGGCTTTACTGTCCCTGAGACCCTGCAGAGGGTGAGTGGAAGAGTGAAGCCATCTGAGTTACCTAGAGGAAAAAAAAAGTATATATATATATATAAAATTGAGATGTAATTCACATTCTCTACAACTCACCCTTTTAAAGTGTACAACTCAGTGTTTTTAGTATATTCATAAGGTTGTGCAATCCCCACCATTTGCTAGTTTTAGTTTCGTCTCGCCCATGTAGAAACCTGGTACTCATTATTAATCACTTGCTTTCCCTCGCTCTTTCTCCAGCCCCTGGCAACCACTAATTTACTTTTGTCTCTCTGGATTTGACAGTTCTGGACATTTCATGTAAGTGGAACCATACACTTTTGTGTGGCCTTTTGTGCCTGGCTTCTTTAACTGAGCGTAACATCTTCAAGGTTCGTCCTTGTAGCCTGTGACAGTGCTTCTTTCCTTTTTATGGGTCAGTAGTATTCCATTGTACGGATGGACCACATTTGTGTATGCCGTCATCAGTGGATGGATCTTTCAGTTTTCTCTGCTTTTTGGCCATTATGAATATAATAAATCCCCTACGTAGGAACCTTCAAGTTGCGAACTTTCAAAGATGCGAACGTGGAACTTCCTAATGAAGACCTGATGGAATTGGAGGCCCAGAAAAGGACAAAGAGAGACAAGAGGAAGAACAAGTAACTGGACAACCAAAGAGGTTCATGATGCAGGAAATGGCTAGGGGATTTTCTTTTTTTTTTCTTTTGCGGTACGTGGGCCTCTCACTGTTGTGGCCTCTCCCGTTGCGGAGCACAGGCTCCGGACGCGCAGGCTCAGCGGCCATGGCTCACGGGCCCAGCCGCTCCGCCGCATGTGGGATCTTCCCGGACCGGGGCATGAACCCGTGTCCCCTGCATCGGCAGGCGGACTCTCAACCACTGCGCCACCAGGGAAGCCCAAGGGGATTTTCTTTATTTGAGAAGGCACTGTTAGTTTTTGAGGCACAGGACCTGAACGTACATGAAGTACATGAAGGTTGCAGCAGCCATTCAGAATGCAATCCAGTGCTACCGTGTCGTCTATGATGGGCAAAAAAGAGCTACTACCCAGACATCACTGGATCATTTTTTCAAGAGGGTAGATAGAATTGAATCCAGCAAAGAACTAGAACCTGTGCCATCAGCGTCAGGGATGAGTGAAATTGCAGCTTGCCCTCCGTCTCCTACTGCTGAAGATCCTTCAGCTCTACCATCTCCAACTTCCTCTCCTCCAGTCAGTAACTCTTCCTGCCTGTTCACTCGATGCCAGCCCCTGGATGCCAGCTGTTGTACTACTGTACTTTTCAAGGTACTGTACTGTAAGATTTAAAATGTTTTCTTTGTTTTTTATGTATTATTTGTGTGAAAAGTATTATAAACCTATTACAGTACAGTAGCATATAGCCAATTGTGTTAGTTGGGTACCTAGGCTGACTTTGTTGGACTTACAAACAAATTGGACTTTCTAACACGCTCTCGGAACAGAACTGGTTTGCATGTAGGGGACTTACTGTAAGGCTACCGTGAGCTCTGAGTTACATTTTTTTTTTTTTTTGCGGTACGCAGACCTCTCACTGGTGTGGCCTCTCCCGTTGTGGAGCACAGCCTCCGGACGCGCAGACCCAGCGGCCATGGCTCACGGGCCCAGCCGCTCCGCGGCATGTGGGACCCTCCCGGGCGCGAACCCGTGTCCCCTGCATCGGCAGGCGGACTCTCAACCACTGCGCCACTAGGGAAGCCCTCTGAGTTACATTTTTATAGAATCACTGGGTAGAACCCAGGAGACTCCACAGTAATCCAGATGAGAGGCGCAGCCTTCTTTTGATTTGGGGCTGTGTGTAAACGAGAGGCACTGAGGATGCTTGTAAGGTCTGAAAGTTGGAGTGTCCATTGGCTGACCTGGGGAGGGTGTGGGTGGGGTTGAGGCAGGAGATAGATGGGCCCCAGTTTAGACATTTACAACTAACCTCCTGTTTATGCTTTAAAAATAAAGATAATAACAGGAACAGGATAAGCAGCTGGACTTTGTCTCCTGTGGACGCTTCAAGGGAACGGAACGGCAGAAACAGAGAGGGGCTGAGCCCTGCTGGCATAAAAGACAAAGAGACCACATAGTTCTCATTCTCGGGGCCAAGGAGACTCCCTCCCAGACTATGCATGTGCAGAAAGGTTAAAGGGAGGGGGCGCCAGACCATAATATGTTCTGTTAACCTCTCAGAGACCCTTGCGCTGGAATCCATCTTGGCTAAAAGATGCGTGTGCACACAGGGGAGGGCCCTGAGTCAGACCAGATATGGACTCAGAGCCAGACAAAGCAAGCTGACTGGCCAGAGGAAACCTAGAAGAACTTCCCCCATATGGTTTAAACCACCCCCAAAAGCACACGCCTCTCTCTCTCTCTCTCAGCCTGCCTTGTACTTTCTATTCTTCTCTCCTAATAAACACTTTACTTGCCTCAATACTTTTCATCTCTTTGCTGATTCTTTCTTCAAAGCAGATGAGAGCCAGGGCCCTGCTCCTAGCCAATAGTCCCTGGTGGTCTAGTGGTTAGAATTCGGTGCTTTCACTGCTGTGGTCCGGGTTCAATTCCCAGGGAACTGAGATCCCACTTCAAGCTGCCGCTCACTGTGGTCACTCACAGCCACCTGAGATCAGGGTGAGTCGGGGGGAGGAGCTAGTAGAGATGTTGACTGGATAGTGGGATGTGTGGACCAGGGTTCGGAACAGAGACCTGGGCGGGAAATGTGAAGTTGGGAGTATCCTGCAGGTAGATGGTGTTTGTGATGGTTAATCTTACGTGTCAGCCTGACTAGGCTAAGGGGTGGCTGGATAGCTGGTAAAACATTATTTCTGGGTGTGTCTGTGGGGTGTTTCTGGCAGAGATTAGCGTTTGAATTGACTAACAGAAGCAGATGGCCTTCCCCAATTTGGGCGGCATCATCTAAACAGAACGAAAAGGCAGAGGAAGGGAGAATTCGCTCTCTCTGCTTGAACACCGTCGCCCCCCTCCACTCCCCCCCCCCCCAGTTTTCAGGCCTTTAGACTCAGACTGAATCACACACCAGCTTTCCTGGTTCCCAGCTTGCAGATGGCAGACTATGGGACTTCTTGGCTTCCGTCACTGTAAGTGAACCAATCTTACAATAAACCTTCTCATGTACCTCTATATATCCTATTGGTTCTGTTTCTCTTGAGAATCTTGACTAATACAGTATTTAGATCACCCACAGAATGAGGTCACCAATGGAGGGAGAGGAGAATGAAAAGAGAACCAAGGTCCGAGGCCAGAGGGCGGCTACTGTAAGGGGGACACGGAGGGGCCAGGGAGGAGGCTGGCATGGGAGGGTTAAACCACGTCCCCATCCGCTGGATCCCCAACCCTGCTGCCGCATTTCTCGGTCCCCTGCATGTGGCATCTCCTGACGTTACTACACGTTTTGCTTCCTGCTCTGTTTCTTGCCCGCGTCTCCCCTGCAGAAGCACCCAGAACACTGGCTGGCACTCCACAGGAGCTCACAAAATATTTCTGACTGAATGAATCTTGTACAAGGCTTGGTTAATCTGAATCTCCATTAGCACAATTATCCCTGCGTCTGACCCACTACCTCGCAGTTTGTAGCTTATCTTTTCATCCTCTTTACATGATCTTTCACAGAGCAAAAAATTTAACTCTTGATGAGGTCCAGTTCATCAAATTTTCCTTTTATGGGGGGCTTCCCTGGTGGCACAGCGGTTGAGAGTCCGCCTGTGAATGCGGGGGACACAGGTTCGTGTCCCGGTCCGGGAGGATCCCACATGCCGCGGAGCGGCTGGGCCCGTGAGCCATGGCCACTGGGCCTGCACGTCCGGAGCCTGTGCTCCGCAATGGGAGAGGCCACAACAGTGAGAGGCCCGCGTAACACAAAAAAAAATAATAATAATAAAAAAAATAAAAAAAATTAAAATTTGGGAGGGATAGAGAAAAATCATTGAAACAAAAAGCTGGTTCCTTACAAATAAATAAAATTAATAAACCTCTAGCAAGACAGAGAAACTTAAAGAGAGAAGACACAAATCACGAATTTCAGGAATGACATTGAGGGTTCATTATAGGTCTCATAGCCATTAAAAGGATAATGTTACAGACTGAACATGTTCCCCCAAAATTCATATGTTGAAACTCTACCCTCCCCCCTTGTGACAGTGTTCAAAGGTGGGGCCCCCATGATGGAATTAGTGCCCTTAAAAGAGTCTGGAGAGAGCTTGCTTCCCTCTCTGTTCTTCTCCATGTGAGGCTACAATGAGAACTCAGAGTCTGCACTCTGGAACAGGCCCTCACCAGAATGCGACCCTGCTAGCACCCTGATCACAGACGTCCAGAACCATGAGAAATAAATTTCTGTTGTGTATAAGCCACCCAGTCTATGGTACTTTTCTAGAGCAGCACAAAATGGACTGAGACACAAAATAAGGGAATACTACAAATCACCATGCTCATAAAGTCTAAGGCTTAGAAAAATGGACAAATTCCTCAAAACTGCACAAACTACCAAAACTCAATTAAGATGAAATAGACAACTTGAATAGCCTTATAACCATCAAATCCATAAAAGGAAAATTTATAATTTTTTTTTTTTTTTTTTTTTTTGCGGTACGTGCCACCAGGGGAGCCCTTTATTTCATTTTTTTTTGCTTGTCTTGGCTATTTTATTTCCCTCTCCTTGCTTTGGATTTATTTTGCTCTTTTTTTGTTCTAGTTTGTTGAGGTGGGCACATAGGCTATTTATTTCTAAGGTAAGCATTTAGTTTTATGGATTTTCCTTTCAACATTACTTTAGCTTTGTCCCACAAATTTTGATATGCTGTGTTTTCATTTTCATTCATTTCTATGTATTGTTATTTCCTCTGGGACTTTCTCTTTGACCCATAGATTATTTGGAAGTATGCTGTGTAACGTACGTGTGTTTAGAGATTTTCCTGTTGTCTTTCTGTCATTGATTCCTACTTTGATTCCCTTATGGCAGAGAACACACTCTGGATGGTTTCAATTCTTTTAAACTTGTTGAGCTTGTTTTAGGGCCCAGTATGTGGTCTGTCTTGGTAAGTGTTCCCTGGGTTCTTGAGAGAAAAAAAGGGTGCTCTGTTGTCATTGGGTGGCATGTCTATAGATGTCAAATAAGTCCTGGAACACCCCCCCACAGAGCCCACCCCAGGCTCCTTCTCATGCCTTCAAGTATTCTGATAGAAGTTCTGCCCACCTAAAGGATTTCTCTTCACCGCTGTCCCTCAGGGATGCCTCAGAGAGAGACTTTAGTGCTGCAACCGTCCACTTTCAGGGGGTGCCTGTGTATCATGTAGAACCCCCCATAAACCAGGCCTGAGTGTTCTCTTCCTCTATCAACTGATCATAGGAAACTCCCCGTGAAGCCACAGGTGAACATGAGTGTACAACTGTCTGTTTGAGTCCCTGCTTTAAATTCTTTTGTTTATATATCCGGAAGTGGAATTGCTGGATCATACGGTCATTCTATGTTTAATGTTTTTGAAAAACTGTCAAAGTGTTTCCCGTAGCAGCTGCACCATTTTACATTCCTAACAGCAATGCACAAGGGTTCCAATTTCTCCGCAGCCTCACCAACTCTTATTCTTTTGTGTTTGTTGGATAATAGGCTTCCTAATGGGTGTGCAGTGGTGTCTCGTGTGTTTGATTTGCGTTTCCCTGATGACCATCTTGAGCATCTTGAGTATCTTTTCATGTGCCTATTGACCATTTGTATGTCTCCTCTGGAGAAATGCCTATTCAAGGCCTCTGCGCACTTTTAACTGGGTTGCTTGTCTTTTTCTTGCTCAGTTGAAGGGGATCCTTATATATTCCAAATATAAACCCCTAATCAGAAACATGGTTTGCAAATATTTTCTCCCATTTTGTGAATTGCTGTTTCACTGTTGATTGGATATCCTTAGATGCAAAAAATTCTTAAATTTTGACGAAGTCCAGTTTATGTGTTTTCCTTTCACTTGACATTGTTTCTTTAAAAAAAGAAATGAGAAGCCCACGCGCCACAACGGAGAGTAGCCCGGGCTCGCTGCAACTAGAGAAAGCCCACGCACAGTGACGAAGACCCAGTGCAGCCAAAAATAAATAAAATTTAAAAAAAAAAGAAAGAAAATGCATCTATTGCCTGTTTCATGGATGAACATTGGTCTTTATTCATGAAGACGGTGAACAGAGTTACTTTCCTTTCTTTTTCTCCTGTGTCGTCTCGGTGTGCTCCGGGATCTTTCTTTCTGTTTGTTTTGGTCTTTCTCATTCCTTTTGAAGCCTCCCCTTAGATATTTGGGGATTCTGGGCTTTGCTTGGGGGTAGTTAGTTTTTTCCAAAAAAACCCTCCTTCCTGGGGGCAGGGGTACATGGTGGACAGGACAATGGCCCCTAAGGTGTCCAATCCCAATTCCCAGACCTTGTGAACGAGTTAGTTTACATGGCAGGAGTGACTTTGCAGGTGTGATGAAGATGAAGGACTTTGAGATGGGGCGATCATCCTGGGTTATCCCAAGGACCCAACCCATCATGGTCCTCATCAGCGGAGAGCTGGAGAGACAGCTGCGGGGGAAGGACTGGCCACCATGGCTGGCCTGGAGATGGCGGGAGGGGCCCAGCCCTGCCCACGCCTTCCTCTTAGCCCAGTGAGACTTGTGTCAGACATCTGGCCCACGGAACTGTAAGGTAGTACGTTGGTGTTTTAAGCCACTGGGTTCGTGGTCATCTGCCCTGGCCACAAACAGAAAACCTACACAGGCCGCACATGCTGGGTCTCTTTCTTCCCTAAGGGCAGTTCCCACAGACAGCCAGCAGGAGGCGGCAGCCACCCACAAGCGAAACCAGACAAACACTCCTGCTGAGGTCAGGATAGCCATCAGGACGGTGACAGCTGGGTGAGGAGGGGTGACCAGAGGGGAGCGCCAAGGGAGGCTTCCTTGGTGCTGTAACATTCTGAGTCCTGACTGCAGAGGTGTGTGATTTCTGGGGAAATTGATTGTATACTCAAGATCTGTGTAGTTTTCTGTATGTTATGCTTCAATAAAAAATGTTGGGGGAGGGGGCTTCCCTGGTGGCGCAGTGGTTGAGGGTCCGCCGATGCAGGGGACACGGGTTCGTGCCCCGGTCCGGGAAGATCCCACATGCCGCTGAGCGGCTGGGCCCGTGAGCCATGGCCGCTGAGCCTGCGCGTCCGGAGCCTGTGCTCCGCAACGGGAGAGGCCACAGCGGTGAGAGGCCTGCGTACCGCAAAAAAAAAAAAAAAAAAAAAAAAAAATGTTGGGGGAGAGAGAGATGAAGGGGAGGGGGTGGGGGCTGCGGAGAGGGGACAGCAGGAATGGACACACTAAATAAATTACGGGGTGCAGAGAGGGGACAGCAGGAATGGACACACTAAATAAATTACCTGGCAGAGCTCAGGAAATCAGACCTTAGTATGTACAAGGTTGCCTTTTTCCCAGGGGTGCATCCTGACAGGCTCTCGGCAGGGGCAATGTCCACCAGCCCTTCTGAGCAAACCAGGCTTAAAATGCTTGTGCTGAGCCAAGTCGGTGTCTCTGGGCAACAGATGTATCTTTGCTACAGGCTTCTCTGACAAAGGCCGTGAGTGGGCAGGGGGTGGGCTGCTTGCTGTGGGCATATCTGTGGTCCAGAGGGCACCACACCTTCCCTCCCATGGGCCCCTCACCTCCTCCGCCACCATCCCTGTCAGCTTGACTCAGAGGTCCACTTGGCTCAAAGGCAGAAAGGCCTAGTCATCAGGCTTTTTGCCATCCATCCATCCATTCAAATGTCCATCCATCCATCCATCCATCCATTCAAATGTCTATCTATCCATCCATCCAAATGTCCATCCATCCATCCATCCAAATGTCCATCCACCCATCCATCTAAGTACCCAACCATCCAACCATTCACCCATCCACCCATCCACTCATCCATCTATCCTTCCATCCATTCAAATGTCCATCCATCCATCCATCCATTCACCCACCCATCCACCCACTCATTCACCC